ACCGAGGGGCGCTGCCGCATGACGCGCGGTGCGTAGCCGAACCAAACGCGAGCATGCAAGAAAGATAGATATTAGACTAACATTCGAGGAAAATTAGCACTAAACTTATTAAGAAATTAAGCATGCAATAAAATACAAAATACAAATACCACTACAATTACTAATTACTAGAAAGGTGTGTAAGGATTAGTAATTTAATAAGAGGAAGAGAATTAGTGGAGGATATAATATGGTAGAGGGAATTATAATCCGAGCATAAGACCCTAAACGGTTCATGCAAGGAATAATTCGATCTACAAAGTGGAAGGAACAACGGTATAAAATTTCTAGTCAGTCTAACAGGAATCGTGAAGTTTATGCGGCTCAACAGATCAGGGCTGTCTATGTCACCCCTGATCAAGTTGTGCATAAATATCACACCAAGCATTTTTCTACGGTTAACTAAGGATGGGAGGTTTACTAATAATAGTCTACTAGTGTAAGATGGGAGTCTTACACCCGCATCCCAGTTAAGGCCCCGCAGAGCAAAGAGTAAAAAGTTTTTCTGTACTGATTCTATACGGTCCTGGTGTACTTTGTACTGAGGGCACCATACACAGGAGCCGTATTCTAAGATCGGACGAACAAGCGAGGTATAGAGAGTCTTTGTTATATAGGGGTCGTCAAATTCCTTTGACCACCTCTTTATAAACCCAAGCACGCCCATGGCCTTATTTACCATGGTAGAAATGTGTTCGGAAAACTTTAACTTGGGGTCTAACATAACACCCAGATCATCCACCAGGGTAATTCTCTCAAGAGAACCCCCAATTAGAGTGTAGGGAGCCAACAAAGGGTTAGAACGATGAAATGTCATAACTTTGCATTTCGAGGCATTAAGGTGTAACAAGTTTGCACAACACCATGACTGAAAGCTATTGAGATCGGATTGCAAGCGAGAATGAAATGAAATGTCCTTGTACTGGACACAGAGTTTAACATCATCCGCATACATAAGTACTCGAGAGTATGTTAATACTGAAGGCAAGTCATTAATAAAGAGTGTGGAGCCTAGATGGCTGCCCTGTGGTACTCCCGAAGAAACCTTTACTGGTAAACTGGCAAGCCATTACGTTTGGCTATAGCATCGCTCACGAGGCCAGAAAATCCCGCGCATTTTGCGTGGACTACGCTGTCGCAGAGCCAGCAGGGGACATTCGGCTGATCGTGAGTGATCTGCTTCTTGCAGGTTTTTTGGCGCAGACCACAGCGAATTCCATTTTATTTTTATTATTTAAATATTTTCTTAAGAAAATTTGCAAAGAAAAATTAAAATCAAAAAAAATTAAAAATTTCCAAAACAAATTGGTATCAGACCAATGTGCCAGACAACGCTCAAAACGGAATTGGTAAGAAAAACAAAAAGAGCAGAGTGGAGAGCGGTTATAGCGAGAGCTACTAGACAGAGAGCGCTATTGCTCAGAAAGTTGAAAGAGCGAGAGAGAAAGAACAGTTATTGAGGTTGAGGTGATAGCGAGAGAGTGATAAGACAACAAAAGCTACCAGACGAGAGCGGACTGCAATGCAATACTCACTCACTGCAACAACACAACACAACACAAGCCGACGCCGAAAAATAAAAAGTTAAATAATATTTTAACACAAATCAAAAGGCATGCACTCGCGTAAATGAATAGGTTTCCAGATTGTTGTCTGGTTAGAAAGTATATTTAGAATTTAGTTAGGAAAACTCCGGCTGTTTATTCGAAACAAAAGGAAAAAATGCGGAGCGCAAAACAAAAACACGTCTGATCACTACGAAAGAGAACGAAACAGTAAAACTGTTTAGGGTCCTGAGAAAAACTTATCCTGCATCGAGATAGGTAGTTCTTATAGCATTGTGCATTAAGAACTGAAAAGTTTTACCGAGCTGTTACATAGCGACAGTGAGAAGTAGGAGAGCCCACTTCTTGAAATTTTTTATAAAGTCTTGATTTTAATTTTTTTAGACAGGATAACTCTTTGGTAAACCAAGGGGGTTTGCCAGATCTAATCGGACAAGAAAGCGGGACACAAGAATCAAAAAATGTGCCAAGAGCATTGTAAAAAATGTTTGTGCCTTTTGTGACATCAGTGCACAAGTACAAAGCGGACCAATCAAAATCCTTAATTAGGTTATTAAGCTTCGCAAACTCGGCTTTACGAAAGCAGCGGACACCTTCAGGTAGTCTACTCGACCGATCCAATACAGTTGGTCCTATTTCTAGCGACACCTCGAAAGTAGGGTGGTAGGCGTCTTCAGGTATAGTGAGCGGAAGGGCTCGGGTTAACAACACTATGGTCGGATCCGATACAAAGCATAGATCAAGCAATCGACCCAAGGAATTTTTCACATGATTGACTTGAGACAGGGACAGGTCAAGCAAGCCGTCAACAAAGTCATGTCGTGACATGGGCACTAGGATACTAGACTCGTTTACCGAAGACCAAACAGTTCCTGGCAAGTTGAAGTCACCAAGAACTATCATACGATCTTTATCAGATAGCGAGGAAGAAACAGCGGTTAAAGCGGACAAGTGCTGCTCATAAATTGAAATATCCGAAGAAGGTGGGATATACGAGCAAGTAATGAATATAGCGAAAGCGGGAAGAATCAGTTTTACACACAGGAATTCCAGTTCCTGTTGGACTTGGACTGTGAAGTGTTCTGACGTGAAGTAAGAGTCCACTGCAATTAGAACCCCTCCTGCACGTCGAGACGAACGGTCCTTTCTAAAAGTTGTGTACCGACCTGCCAAAACCTCGGAACTAAGAATGTCCGGCTTTAACCAGGTTTCAGTAAACACAATAACATGGGAAGCAAATGCAACACTATCCCGGAAAAGAATGCTGAGCTTACTACGCAAGCCTCTTACATTCTGATAGGTTACTAAAAGAGAAGTTAGTTTTTTGGAAAGGTGGAAGCAAGACGGGAAGTTGAGGAAGAGGAAGTTGAGGTTGAGGGTGGCACACTGGAAAGATTTGGAAGCGATATGGGGGGCCTATTCTTCTTCTTAGCCTTAAACTCCTTCAGCACCAAATGCTCCGGCCAAAATTTGGCGGAGCAAATGGTGTCAAATTGAGTTGGGAGATGCTTATCTTAAACGAGGCTATCTCCCTGGCATAAGAGAAGTTAAATTTCTCCACCTTTAAACCCACGGCTTTTATTTAGCTTTGAATAAAAGCAATTACATCATTAGATGTGAGGTCAGGGGCCAGCCGTGAAACAAAAACTGGTCGTTTTGGTGGGACTCCCACCAGTGGTTTAGTCACCACAGGTCTAGTACCTGTGGTGGCAATATCCGGAGGTCCGGAACGTCTATTTACTGGTGGGATCGGGATGGACGGGACAACTAGCGAACTTGCGGACACCACGGACACGGACGCTGCAGACGTACTTGGCTGCACATTCTCCGAGGCGATGAATTCGGCTACCGAATCTGCATCGCCAGCAGCTGTCGTTGCCTTTGGAGTGGCAAACGAGATCAACTGCTGCACACTTGGAGTGGTCGGAGCCAGTTTTTCGGCGGCGCGCGGCTGAGTGACGGTTGGAACTTTATTTATTTATTTACAATTACTTGCAAAACAAACTGTTTTCAGTCCAATGACACAAGTACAATTTACAATTATTTGCAAAACAAATTGGTATCAGTCCAATGTGCCAGACAACGCTCAAAGCGGATTTGGTAAAAAAAAGAGAGCAGAGTGGAGAGCGGTTATAGCGAGAGCTACTAAACAGAGAGCGCTATTGCTCAGAAAGTTTAAAGAGCGAGAGAGAAAGAACAGTTATTGAAGTTAAGGTGATAGCGAGAGAGAGATAAAACAACAAAAGCTACCAGACGAGAGCGGACTGCAATGCAATACTCACTCACTGCAACAACACAACACAACACAAGCCGACGCCGAAAAATAAAAAGTTAAATAATGTTTTAACACAAATCAAAAGGCATGCACTCGCGTAATAGAATAGGTTTCCAGATCGTTGTCTGGTTAGGAAGTATAATTAGAATTTAGTTAGGAAAACACCGGCTGTTTATTCAAAAAAAAAGGAAAAAATGCGGAGCGCAAAACAAAAACACGTCTGATCACAACGAAAGAGAACGACATATATCATCCAGAGGATATATGCTCTGTCCCGGTTTGCGGTGTTGGCAATACATCCGCTGACTCAACCTTTCGCTCGGCCAAGTTCTCTGCTGATGCTGATCCTGCTGTTGTCAGCCATCCAGTGCTGCCAGACTCTTCTAAGAAAAAATAAATAAGAAAATAAAAAATGAATAAATACAGGCAGATGCATCTTTCAACAATTTGAATAAACTCTCCATTTTGCTTCCGATTCTAAAATTTGAAGTTTGTTGCATCTGATTTCTTTTCGTCAAGCTCGAAGACTAAAGAAAATGAAGACTTCTTTATAGATTACACGTCCTTACTTTCTCCTTTTTCCCAGCAGCAGCAGAAATTATGGAGGCTGAAACATCCGTTTCGCCTCTCCACTTTGGATTCTAACCTCAACCGATTTAAATTTTTTCCTATATTTCGATACAAAAAATGAAAATATTCTGCGTAAAATCGTTACAACGTGTCCACGCATTTACAAGAGGCTATTACCGTAGTTTTGAGTCATTTCATTTCATTTCGAAACGTGCTGATATTAATCCGCAGTGATCGGATTCGGTTTTCATGAATTCGGGGGGATTCGAATTTGACTCGAATCTGAGGGCAGGATAATGATATGATAATGATCGAACGCATTAAAGGGGAATGAATATAGCTGTGATTCTGCGGATTCATGCAGGGCTATATTATGCATATGTAACCGGAGTATCGTTCCTTTTAATGTAAATAATGTAATGTAATGCAAGTAAGGTAAGAACCTAAAAAAAATCGTTTTACAGATATCAATTAGTTATATATTTAAATTGTACACAACATTGATAAGAAAATTATTTGGTATTTAATTCAAAATAACTTTTTAATTTCAGATACTTCGTGTACACCTTGCGAAATAAGAAAAAATTCTCTTCAACGGCCAGACGAACATGATTTTGGAGAGTACTTGCCATTTTTTTTAAAGGATAATCCGGACGACTCATGTGCCAAAGCTGGTCATGCTGCATATAACGGAGCTATTAGATATTCGATTGATCATAAAAAGCTACAAGTTGATGCCTCCTATTTTATGGCTTACCATACCATACTTAAAAGCTCCGAAGACTATTTCTTAGCATTACAGTCAGCTAGAAAGATTTCGAAAAATATAACACAAATGTTGCAAGGCAGATTAATCTCCTTTGGTGTACCTATCGAATCAGCTCTAAATGTCGAAGTTTTTCCGTACTCAGTATTTTATGTTTTTTATGAACAATATTTAACAATGTGGGCTGATACACTGAAAAGCATGGGAATTTCTGTTCTATCTATTTTTATAGTTACATTCATATTAATGGGTTTTGACATACATTCCGCTTTGGTGGTTGTTATCACGATAACCATGATTGTCATTGATCTAGGAGGCTTAATGTATTATTGGAAAATATCTCTGAATGCTGTATCATTAGTTAATCTTGTTATGGCAGTTGGAATATCAGTAGAATTTTGTTCGCACTTAGTGCACAGTTTTTCTCTTTCCAAAGATACAACTCAAATAAGTCGAGCTTCTGATAGTTTAACGAAAATGGGTAGTTCAATTTTTTCTGGTATAACTCTTACCAAGTTTGCAGGCATTTTAGTGCTGGCGTTTGCTAAAAGTCAAATCTTTCAAGTTTTCTATTTTCGTATGTATTTTGGAATTGTTGTAATTGGAGCAGCTCATGGTCTTATCTTCTTGCCGGTTTTATTGAGCTATATCGGTAAGTTCTTTGTTTAAGCAATTTCGAAATATGTTATTTCCATATTAAACTAGGCAACAAAGTCTAACTTTTTATTTACTCAAGGAACCAAAAGACTTTTCTGATAGTTTAAAAGTTTTAAACATTTTTAATGCTTTAGTTATTTTTTTCAAAAAATGTTTTTTTAACTATTTAGATTGCGGTATTTTTTTTTTGAACTTTGACTTAAGAAACTTAGGAATTTCTTGTGCTTTTATATTTTATTTGTACAGGTGCGTTGAACTTTGTGTTTAAACTTCGAACCAAACCGAAATCTGATGGATTTTGAGCTTTAAAATGTTTAATGAATTAAAGTTTTTTAGATGGTGTTTTTTTTTTACATTGTTAAAATTAAAATTTTGTTTTGTGGTTGTGCCTTATCTTTTTATATAGCCAGATGCTATATACAAGAGGCTGTATAGGTACTTAATTACTTGATTGTACTTAGGTTATTTGAATACCACAAAACATCTGAACAAAAAGTTAGAAAACCAGCTTACAAATTTAAACAACCCACACCTATAACCAAAATTCATTTAACATTTTAAAAGCCCAACATTTATCGGAAAAATTCGGTTTGGCTTGAAGCGTATATATAGTGTTGCACGATTATATGCGTTAAAGGTATCGGTTTAAAAAATTTGGATGTACGGATAAGGTGCAGAATCTACGCATTAATTATATGGACGTTGCTTGTGAGTATTGTGGTGCATTAAAGTTTACGAGTTTACTCGCAAACGGTAGCGGTAGTCACGTGCGTAACACGTGCCGTAAAACATCGTTTCGGACTGCAAGGTGGAACGGAATATTGCGTGTTTCCGTGTTGGACAACCAAACAAATTTTATACCTATAAGTTTTCGAAAATTAAACTTATATAAAAGGTTTGCTTTGTTTTGTTTCTCATTTCTTATCCGTGCATACACAATGTGCGCCACAGCGAAACGTGGCGAGTTCGCTTATATAAAAATTAAACCCATTTTGTTTGGCTTTTCTTAAAATTTCCAAAAAAATATCGCTTAAAATTTTAAATTTTGCATTTGAAAGCTTAATATTTCACAGACTATAAGCTGAAGTTCCAAACTATGCAGTTCAAATGTCAGCTTTTCGGAATTGCAAAGTTAATTACAACCAGATGTCATATAATTATGCTATGTGAAAAGAAAGAAGTAGTAGCTCTTATAAAACCAAATTCATTAAACATTTTTAAAGCCCCTAATCAACTAGAAAAAAGTTGGCTTGGTTACTAAAGTGGTAACCTTTCGTGCTAACCAATTTTCTAAATACCTATATATATATATGTTTCGGATTATCCGACTGATACAATTAAAAATTTAAGAAATCGAATGGTTGGTTTTAAGCCTTAAAGTCTAGTTTCAAAAGATTCATTAAGAAATCTCAAATAAATTAAAAAAATACTTTGGTTACTTCAGTTTTATCTGCATATAATTTTTTTTGTTCTTTGCGCTTACCGCCCTTACAAATTGAAAATACAGTATAATAATAATAAATGATCTTATCTACTAGACCTTGAGATCGGAGTACTTGAGTGTGTTTCAAGCAGATGTTGTAGCAATCAGATAATCCATTCCCATTGTCTTCAAACCTACCTCTATATAGGCTCAAGTAGCGATTAAGTAAACATCTCTAACCAAGATCACAGACAAGTTCGGTCTTTGCCTAATATGGGTGCTCGGACACAGTTACATTGATAAGAGTTGTCCCGCAGACGAACTAGCAAGGCAGGCACGAAACTCATTTCTCACGTATGAAATATTAGAGATATACATAAATATGCGATAGTGGAAACTGAACAAAGAAACTATTGGCAATGTTATACCGACTCAGCAGACTCTGATGAAGTTGTCGGGCCGAGGAAGAAGAGGTTTCAGTTCCCACTTCTTCACCCACTGTTCTGAACTCGAATACCGCAGACTTCGATTTAAATTTTCTGAGTGGCTTTTATTTATTTCTTATTTAATCTAACAATAACTTTATCAAAGGTTATAAACCGGGTTGCCACAGAAAACTCTAGACTTTTTTACTCTAGTGGTTTGCCAAATCCCCCGAAAAATCCCGATCTGAGGAGGCTTTATTGTTCGGACAATTCTCGGAACTCACGCGCAACAATAAGAATGGTTTTTAAAAAAATTAGGTAAGATTGCTCTTTTTCAATTCACTGTTAGCGTTCTAAAAAGTATAATTTGTAATAATTTTCAGACGAGCGAAAATATTGACTAGTCAAATCAAGAATTATATTCCTGTGGAAACGATTAGAATTCACCCTTGTTTTATGGTCGTACTGCTGTTTTCAGCCAAAACGTTTCGTTTTCGTTTTAAGGTGCTCGATATGTTTCATTTTTCATCGTTTCTGGCAAACAAAAACAGCTGACCTAGCTGCTTTTGTAAAAATACAGCGTGATTAAAATGTCTTTTATTTTTGCTTGCAAAACGACTGCAGAAATGACGTGATCTAAGAAGACCTAGACATCTTAGATGCAACATTTGCGTATCTAACATGTCTGACGAGCTGTGAGTAACAGCATGCAAATTGAAAATTAAATTGCCGATGATCAAGATTTCAGATTTGTGAAGTCATTTCGGTAATTTTAGAATACAAAATTAATTTTCTGCACTTACATTTTTAAGTCCGAATTAAATGGGGCGGGAAACAACTGTGCTTACCCAAATGCTCTGTTAAGCGCATTCTACAAGCACAGTCTGAGCTGTTACATGGAAATTGGTCCTGTTATGCGCAAAAATTTATTTCATGCCAACCAAATCAGCTGTTTTTGCATCAAAACGAACATTTTTGTTGTCCTGGCCAATTTTTCCCGAGCCAAAATTTGAGGTTGGGTTAAAATAAAATTATTTATAAAGAAAGCACTAGCTAAATTACCTCGATATAGGTGTTAAGTTTATGTTAATGCTTGGACGTTGACATGCAATAACTGCATCTTACAAGAGGCGATGCAATTACTGCACCGTCAAGTGGCCCGTCCGAAACCAGCAGAAGGCTGTTACGCGAGCATGCAGGAAAGATAGCTGATAGACTAAAATTCGAGGAAAATTAGCACTAAAGTTACTAAGAGAACTTTGCATTCAAAATAAACAAAAAAATTAAAATAGCACTACAACTACTAATTACTAGAAAGGTGTGTAAGGATTAGTAATTTAATAAACGGCTCATGCAAGGAATAATCCGATCTACAAAGTGGAAGGAACAACGGTATTAAATTTCTAGTAAGTCTAATAGGAATCGTGAAGTTTATGCGGCTGTCTATGTCACCCCTGATCAAGTTGAGCATAAAAATCACACCAAGCATTTTTCTGTGGTTAACTAAGGATGGGAGGTTTACTAATAGCAGTCCACTAGAGTAAGATGGGAGTCTCACACCTTCATCCCAGTTAAGGCCCCCGTTAAGAGCCATATTCTAAGATCAGACGAGGTATAGAGAGTCTTTGTCATATAGGGGTCGTCAAATTCCTTTGACCACATCTTTATAAACCCAAGCACGCCCATGGCCTTATTTACCATGGTAGAAATGTGTTCAGAAAACTTTAACTTGGGGTCTAACATAACACCAAGATCATCCACCAGGGTAATTCTCTCAAGAGAACCACCAAATAGGGTATAGGGAGCCAACAACGGGCTAAAACGATGAAATGTCATAAGTCGGTGTAAATAACATCCGTCTGTAAGTTACTTTGAAAGCCTTTAATAATGAAAGAGGTAACCTCTTACAAGTTCGTGGTGGTTGATCGCCGCTTTATAAATCCATGCTAAGTTGGAGATATAATGGTCCACACAGAGCCTCGGTGCAGTACCTGAGTACACAATCTGGAACCCCGTCTGGACCCGTTGAAAACACCGGCTTAACTAGTCGAAGATCATGAAGTAAAGAACATTCACTTAACAATGGACTGAAAATGCTGTTCGACCTCGGTAAACCGTATGGGTACGGATGACCAGAGTAGATTTCCTCAGAATAGGTGGTTTTGAAAAATTGGGCAAAAAGATCGGCAATTGCCTGATCATTATTTGACGACGTATTACAAAATTATAGCGAGGATGGGTGTGCGGACGTTTTACGCTTACTGTTTACGAAACAGTAAAACTGTTTAGGGTCCTGAGAAAAACGTATCCTGCATCGAGATAGGTAGTTCTTATAGCATTGTGCATTAAAAACTGAAAAGTTTGACCGAGCTGTTACATAGCGACAGTGAGAAGTAGGAGAACCAACTTCTTTAAATTTTTTATAAAGTCTTGATTTTAATTTTTTTAGACAGGATAACTCTTTGGTAAACCAAGGTGGTTTTCCAGATCTAATCGGACAAAAAAGTATGACACAGGAATCCAAAACGTGCCAAGAGCATTGTAAAAAATGTTTGTTCCTTTTATGACATCAGTGCACAAGTACAAAGCGGACCAATCAAAATCCCTAATTAGATTATTAAGCTTCGTAGACTCTTTACGAAAGCAACGGACACGTTCAGGTAGCCTACTCGACCGATCCAATACAGTTGGACTCGTTTATCGAAGACCAAACTGTTCTTGGCAAGTTGAAGTCACCAAGAACTATCATATGATCTTTATCTGAAACCGATGAAGAGACAGCAGTTAAAGCGGACAAATGCTGCTCATAAATAGAGATATCCGAAGATGATGGAACATACTAGCAAGTAATGAATATAGTGAAAGCGGGAAGAATCAGTTTTACACACAGGAATTCCAGTTCCGGTTGAACCTGGACTGTGAAGCAGGGACCGTAATCATTATAAGTTATATAATAAAAATTACTTGGTAATGATCATATTTCAATTTTTTACGATTTTCTTCACAGATAATCATTATTTTTGAGTAATTTGATAGAACTTAGGATTAATCATTATTCTTGATCAAAAAAAATAAAACTCAAAATTAATGATTATCAATGATTTTTATTTTTTTCGCTTAAAATAAAACTCAACAGGAATTTACGGC